TGCTTTGGATTCTGTCTATCAGCACTCAAGCATTGTTCGCATGTTCAATTTTGTGACGAAATAGAACCCATTTATTCAATATCATATATACACTCTCCGGTCATAAACTAGAACTGAGGATGTTCCTTCCTAACCGCAATTGATTTGTGTTGACAAATCCAAAACTGATGATAGCTTTGCGTTGGAATAGGTACAAGAATACGCCACAAACGTAAGGATCCAATTTTGCCAGAGGTAATCTTAACTTACCAAATATCCTTTTGACGAATATTGTGAAGGACCCTAACAAAATGTCTCATTTTTGCTACTAGAACTAACGAAATAATTTTGGAGAGTTCAAGCAGAATTCAAAGATTTCTATTTTTACAATTCTGGCTTACAATTTGAGATCGATTATGAGAGAATCTATTCGGTATTCAAAAGGGGTATTGTGTATTTGTGTTTTTCAGAAATCCGCTTCATACATTCATAAGAAATCACGAATTAAAATGTTTTTGAAAGCATAGATTTTAAAATTTTGTTATAAGAAAAACTATGGTCGGGATAAGCATTTAGTTTACGAAATTTTATCGTGTTTGTTTGTAAAGTTTGAAAAGTTCGTTAGATTCGCTAAAAAGGTACATTTAGAATTACAAAAAAGTAACATAAAACAACATAAAATAGAACCCCTTGCCATTTACGAGGACTTTTTCATTCTACTGTGTATATAAATTTACCAGGAAAAAGGTTCCCATTCCATTCATAAAGACGGTATTTTGAGCATTTATTTTATGATGCTTCTTAATTTTGTGTCTTTCTGGAACTCAGTTTCTTTTGGACGGCTTCTTATAAAAGAAATGCGTGTAAATTTGTCATGTTTAATTGCTATAGTTGGTTTGTGAGCAGAATTTTTTCTATGATAAGAATGTGACGCATCCTTACTCCATATATCTTTTTCTATACATATTTATATCTTTGCTGTATATTTCTGCAATGGTAAGACAAATTTGACGCATTTATCAATCTATCTTTACTTCTCTTTGCGTTAACGTGACTAAAAACTTTGCATTACTACATCACTAAATTGACTTTCGGGTGCTTCCACCTAATTCAAACTTATGCTTATGTTACTCCTTGTTTGGCTTCAACGTTTTTTCAAGAACTAAGTCAAAGAAGAAAATTTCTACGTTAGAAATGAAAGTAAAATAAGACAACTTAATTCGCCCTAAACAAGGAGCAGTGCAATGTTAGATTTGCACTGGCAATGTATAATTTGCTGTTGTATTATCCTCGATACTGTATCAAAAAAGCTGAGTATATTTCGTCGTGAAGAACACGACTAGTACTTCAAGAACTCTGTTGAATATAGTAATTCAAAAACGTAGCAGGAAAAGTGCACGCTCTCTCTGGCTCCTACCAAACTTGATACCTCGAGCTGTAGCAAATAGCAACCAGATATACCCATCTTTATTCTAAAGATTTTTTTAGGCACAAAAATTGCTCTCCTCACAAAGATTTTCTTTGACTTGCAATTTGTTCCGAACTGTTTCCCTTGCTCACCCGATTCTCTCTTCTGACGTTATTTGTACGTTTTTTTTCTGGCTTTTTGCGTTGATACACATTTATCGTTTAATTCTAGCAAAAATACAACCCTTTTGAGAGGGAAGTTGGCTTTCAGTGTACGTCGATTGATTACTAATATGAAGGATTTTTACTAAAGAGATATTTAGGTGAACTTCCCAGATGATTCCTTTTGTATTGACCTTCCTAACGTAAAAATGTTCACTGTAATATGGAAAATTCACTGTTAAATATTCCATTGTACAATTATAAATATTTTCTGTCGGAAAACTTTCATCCCTACTGCACAAGGGGCATCTCACAAAAACTACCTGCAAATATGAAGGAACCTCAGTTACGCATGCAAACTCTTATTTTATAATACACTTAAAATAAGGATGGATTTATTTCTCGCCATATTGATAAATAGCTGTTTTAGTTGCGAATATTGCCGGCAACAGAAACAGATTTGCATACAGCATTGGCTAAGTCCTTTTTTGCTTGTACTTGAATAATCTGACACAATAGTTTTACGAGTTAGGATTTTCAATGAAAGGCAACTGAGCAAAGCCAGTAAGAGGCTTTCAAATAATTGAGAAGAAAGCCAGTGGCGAGCATCAAAAGCTGCTTTAGTGGCATTTCTACTAATGAATTCACTACTGGAGTGAAGTGTAGATAATCAGTTCTAGATGTGAAATGAGAGGAAATTGTTTGAAGAAATTTGCTGCAGCAAAATTGATTTTGCTTAGTTTAGAGAAATAAAACTTTAGAAAAAGGGCTTTAAAGGTAGCAAAACAGGCAATTTCCCTTTCTAAAAAGTGCTGATTGCAGCGATCGACACAATAAATTGTAAGTAAATAGCTCAACATTTAGCCCAACTAATCTTACTCAAACGATTCAATTTAGGAGAGAAAGGACAAAACTTTAGAGACTTTTGTTGACAATGAGTGTGCAATGGAGTTAAAAACTTTTCTCTCTTTCATTTGCACGCTGGCCAATCCTTTAAAAATATTTCCATATTTTGGAACCAAAGATAGACTTATTGCTACAGCAAGTTATAAGCAAGTTGCTTTCAAGCTTCAACTTTCCGGTCTAAACCTCATACGCATGTTATAAGGTGTTTCATACAAATTTTAATATTGAGTCAAAATACATGGAATTAAAAAACAAAACCTATTTGACAAAATATTTTCCATGAGCAAAAGGAATAGCTAAAATGTACTTGACAATTGCACTGAACTAGAGTCAAGATTTGCTTCATGTTTGAAGAGGTTTAAGATTTGACGAGGAGTAAGAACCTTCACATTCAAAATTGTCCACCTAAGTAAATCTTTCAAAATCAAGTTCGACTGCTGTACGTTGAACGAAGAAGAGAAAGCATCAGAAGAGTTAGTATCGCATTCATAAACATAGCCCTCATTTATTGTAATTTAGCTGCAATTTGTTTCTTGCTGCTTTGCAGAAAATCAGTGATGATTTGTCCCATTACATATGCTGAAAAGTGTTGAGCGTGAGAATACAGATGGCCGATCACAATGTCCACAATCAAGAAGCAAAGTTTTTATGTGACATATATTCACTGCTCATTCTTGCTTTAACACTTAGTTTAAGCAACACAAACAATGCATTTTTCACAGACTTAAGTCAGCTAACGATTTTAAAAAGTTCAAGTATCTTTGCCTTGGGTAACGAAATTTTTGCAATCGTTTTTTGTCAGAACATTTTACCAATAAAGATATGTTTTCTTTCCTATACATTTATTTTAAAAACGATTACAAACATCAGTGAGGTATCCAAAGGTCCTTCTTTGAGGAGAAACAGTGAAAATCTTGTGTTCTGTTCTACACCAAATTGCCATAATGCTTGATTAAAGGCTCAGAAAACCCCACTTCTAGTGCTGTCATTCATAGTTTGATTAGAAAACTAACCCTGTTATTGAAGAAAGAGATGCATATCTGCTTTATAAATGTGGGTATTAATTTCCATGTCGTTTTAAGCTATTCAAAATGGATATTCTGTGTGATATTGATCATTTTACAAATGAGATTCATTCAATTTTCATTCAGATTGCCCTGTTACGATTAAAACGCTAAGAGTAAGAGTTTATAATCCTGGTATACGTTCTAATTTTCATTTATGAAAGTTACAAAATGGTAAATGATTAATTGATTTAAAAACCAAGTTTAATCGGCATTATCTCACAAAATTGTGAAATGTCAAACCAATTTATTCCTGTATATATTCTAACAAAAACTTTGCAAGACTGTACCTTAGAAATGCCATATCCTCGTATATAAAAGCAGTAAGACATTTAGAAAAAGAAGGGGTTGTGAAATGCCCCAAGGGTGCTAACAGTATTATCACTCTATTAGATTTACTTTCCCTACAAGATATAAGCAGGTCAACTCGTTCTCGTGCTTTACTAAAAAAGTACCAAGTTGTGCAGATGTATGGCTTGCAAACGCATTTCCTATCTTGATATGCTTAAATTCATGTTTCAAGAGAGGCTAGGATTTCTTCAAATTTTGACCTTGATAAAATCCGTTCATAAAACACCCTTACACAGAGAGAGGGAGAATATCCGTTTTTCAATACAGTTTTACTAGATAAGGTTACTATTCAGAAAACTGATTTCATGGCAGAAAGCATCTAAATCAGACCTTGCTTTGAAGAATGAGGCCAAACGTTAGCCAAGCGGCTGCTGAGAAAGATTCAGCGCTTCTTATATGGATGCAAATTCCTGCTTGCCTTTTACGTAAAGGAAGAGGAAAAAAGTTTCCTGGGATTTGTCAATATTAGCTGCCTTACCTGGTGTGATCATCTTGTACCACTTGAAATAACTTCAGGATACGTTTGTAATTTTAACAGTTTTAGCACCAAATAAATCTGAGGAATCGGGGTTGGAAACAAATTTCGTGGTGACACTTTTTGAGAAACAAGCTGATGGAAATATTTTAATTGAAGCCACAAGATTGACTGGCTGATTGTAAAAGTCAAACCAGCAGGTAGAGATCATCTTTTGGCATTCTCGATCTCTGAAAATAGAACTTGATTTGATAAAGAGAGTCTTCATCAGCACGAGGAATAAGACAAATTTAGGCCACTTTAGAAAAACCTAGAAACATTCCTGCGTTTGCATGAAATAGTGGAATGGATGTCTGAGAGTTGAATGAGTCATGAAATTGTGTAATACAGAGTACTAAATTAAAGTAAACTATAAATCATTTCCCACCGAATTTGTGACCCACATTGCAGTTGGCTACTTCCCCTATATAAAAAAACTCTGAAAACTTTTGATTTTGTTTCATATAGTAGCTTTTTGTCACTTCATGATTAAAACCAGTGAACTTGAAATTAATAGAGCAGGTAAATAACAATAGCCCATAGAACGAGTCTTGCTTCTTACAAGATCTTACAACCAGTCTCGCTTCTCGATTGAGTACTAAAAAGATATGAAAATCTTACCTGTCTTTGGCTTCTGCAGCGCGATCTCTCTGTCGTCTATTTTTAAACCAATTACTAACTTGGGTAGTGGATAGCCCAGTTCCATCAGCAAGTTCTTTCTTTTCTCTTGGGGATGGGTAAGGATTGCGTGCGTACCAGTCTCTAAGAATGGCCCTCGATTTCTCTTTGAAGCAGTAACTCGTTTCTTCTCCATCCCATATCGTCCGAGGCAGTGGAAACTTCCTTCTAACTCGATATTTCCCCACTGCACCAAGGGGGCGTCCCCTGACTTTCTCTGCTTCGATGTAATGAGCTTTAAGCCATAAATTTTGCAGCTTGACGTGCGAGGGCAAGGAGAAGGAATGGTTTTCTATGATACTGTATAGTTCTTGAAAGTTTCCGTGATGAAAGGCGACAACTGCCTTTGCTTTAAGAACACTTTCATTTGTACTTATTTCGTCGCAGTTCGGCAGGCTCCAGAGAAAGCGCGCCAACCGATCTATGCTTCCCCCTTGCTGCAATACCTCACAGACGCAAGCGATCTGCTCTGGTGTGAAGCCGACAGTTGAGAAGCCGGGACCATCCAGGAAGGCGCTCATGATTCGTGAAATCGAACCGACTTAACTGTAATGCTATAACATGAAACTGAAATGTTTAGGAGGATCTACCTGAATTTCGTTACTCAATAAGAGAACATCACAAAAGGTCTAAGAAAGGCTTAACAACATTCCTCTGGACAAAAGTCAGTGGTTTTAAGGTAAGCCTTGGCATTCACACCTTCGTAATCAAAAGAGAACAGTTAAATTAGGTGAAGCTCAAAATAAACAATCTATGTACTGAAGAAGTAACAAGCTCTGCCTCGCGGGGACTGGTGGAAATTTGATACATCATTGAAGAAACCAAAGAATGTGTTTCCAAGGCAATCAGACACTAGAATTACAGAGGTGCCCGCGAGGAAGCCCTAGTGATACGTGATCGTCTAGATTTTAATTAATCCAGCAATCAAACACTTTAATTTTGCCCAGGATATTCACGGACATTATCAACGTGATCGTTGTCCGTTTTCGGACACGTGTCCTATAAAGAAGAAACTTTTGCAAGCTGAAACAACGTAAAATTCTTCAAATTAACTTTCACGAATCCACCTAAATGAGAGATTTGGCGGGAATAAACTTTCGCGTTTTCCGAAAATTACGTAATTCGCGAGAATAAACTTTCGCGAAGTAAGTTTTTTGTCAAGTTTTGTCAATCTTGTCAATCTCCGAGGCTTCAATACACAGGTTTGCTAGTTTGAATCGAATGAGTTGCTGTTGAACAAGATCAAGCTGACTATTATTGGACTGTGCAGCAACTATGTAAACCTAACTTTCCGATTGTTGTCGATTTTTTGTGCAAAGTGGGCTACAAAATGCCTGTGTCGTCTTCGTGAAAGTGACAGTAACTTTGAAATTATGCTTTCATGCACAGTTTCATTGGAACTTATTACGAAGCTATATGAAGCTATATTCAAGCTATCACAATCGGCAGCAAAGATAAATGCATGAATGAGTTTGAAATTGACCAAGAATTTGCAATTAAAATAGAGAAAGACGTTACTTTGCTTGGTGTTCAGATCGATGAAAATTTCAAGTTTGATGCTCGTATCGATAAGATCTGTAAAAAAGCAGCTAAATAGTTTAATTCTTTGAAAAGATTGGCAAGATTTATGGGCGACAGAGAAAAAAAGATAATTATGAATTCATTTATACTCAATTATTGTCCATTAATATGGATGCTATGTGGTAAAAGAAGTCAGGATAAGGTAGAGAAAATTAACGAGAGGGCTTTAAGACTAGCCTATACGGACTATTCATCTTCGTACAAAGATTTACTTGCTAACTCAAAAGAAACTACCATACATGTCCAATCAGTTAGAATTTTAGCGCTCGAAGTTTAAAAAACACTTACCAACCTTAATCCTGTTTTCACGAAAGACTATTTTGTACCCAAAACAACAGGTCATAACCTTCGACTCAAAAACCCCCTTGACATTCCAAAAGCCAGATCTACCAATAATGGTATCAGATCATTAAGTTTTCAAGGGCCTAAAATCTGGAATTCACTCCCGGAATCAATAAAGACAGCACAAAATACTAGACAATTTAAGAATTTGATCAAAACTTGGTTCCTTGAAAAAAAGTGCGCATGCTCGTTTTGCAGTAAATGAACTGTCTTATGCAATCCTTGAAATTGCTTCATGTTAGTCTTAATTAGTGTATATTCACTATTGTAAAAACCAACATTAAATAATCTATAATACAATACAATACAATACAATACAATAATACAATACAGGACTAAAAAACGAGGATGAGGGTGATCGTTGGGACTTTCATCGAAACAGTTCAATGATCATCTGGCCCAATTTCTCCCGTAACACTGCAAATAGGAAGATCGCTATCGCTTAAGCTCTGGTTAAGCGATCCAACATTTCGCCCAACATTTCGCCCAACATTTCGCCCAACATTTTGCCCAACAATTTCCTTTCATATCGAAAAGTAATCCAACGTTTGCGGTCAAACGATCAAACTTTTAACCCAACATTTTCTCGCGCAGATCGAAAAAATGACTTGGTAGAAGGTCGCGCTGAAGTCTGCACAGAAAGATTCGCGACATTTCGATCTGAAAAAACGAAAGGCAACCTTCTCTACATACTTTATCTTGAAGGAAAGTGTTGGCAGATATATTCACAGTCATTGCGGTTTTCCAAGACGAGCGTCGCATCCCCCATCAAAGCCGTGGCCTGAATTCGTCACTTTCTTCCGTAGCTCCTCTTATCATTGACGCTTTTTGCCTCTTTTTGCGCACAGAATTCGTTATATTTCGTTATATTGTCCAAAATCAAAGTGTAATTGATCGTAAAGAAACACGAATGTTGAAACAAACAAAACCAACCTCCAACCCGAGAAATCAGCAACGATGCGATGGTTGAATTTTGGCGCTCTTTAACTACGCTTGCGCAGAGATAACATTGTTGGCTGAGGTGGTCAAACGATCCACTTTTCACCCAAAATTTCAAAACAATAGAATTTTTGTATGTCAGCAGCCAACATTTTGGATTTCAGTCAAATGACGCTGTTGGATGACTCAACACGGTGGTCGAACGATCCAACATTTATTATAATTACTCCTTTTAATTCTTTGATTCAGAGTTGGCAGTTTAAAATATATAGCTTAAAAGCTATTTAAGGCCAACTACTTACGAATTGCTATAAAATGAAGACAAAATACAATATATGTTAAAAAGCTCAAGTTTGGATAAAATTTCTTACATAATCTGTAGTTGCAAGCGTGGCATTTATTGGCTTTAATGAGCTTTATGAATATCTGAAGGGAGTTTGAAGCTTTGATCTCTGGTGTTAGTGTCTCCCATAATTTTCCCCCATAATTCTGACTGTATCAATTCCAAGGCAAGTTGTTCTCGTTTATGGTAGCTGTAGTTTATCCGACCGCCTCAAATTGTAAGGTGTTTCATTTTCTATTCGAAAGTTTGTTTCTCTACTATAGGCAACTGCAGGTTTCTCTGATGAATGGTTACCGAATTATAGGTTTCAAATAACTTTTCTAAACTAGAGACATTGTCCTTGTATGCAATTCTTAAAGCCCTTTCGTGAATTTTATTTATCTTATTGTTCAAAATTCTATTGTGAAACATCCAATTAAATGAACAATAACAAAACTGGTACATAACAAATGTTTTCATCTAGCTTCTCCGGCTCCATGAGAACTGAAATGCGAGCTAGAGCATGATGAAGCTTATGACTAGCTGTTTTACAGAGTATTTGATTTGGACATGTTTTTTGAAACTCGATTTCTTGTCAAGACTGATGCCTAGCAGTTTCTCCTTGACATTTTCTTCTATCTGGGTCTCACCAATATGTGACATTCATCTTCATATAATTTCATATAGTTCTCTGGGAACTATGTCGTTAGTAGGTTTGCATAGAGTAGTACCATCTGCGTAGTTGCATAATTCGGTCCCATTCTGATTTCGCCCTACATCGTGTTGATCGTGATGTTGGGTGAAATGTTCGTTTGACCAGGGCTTTAGACATTCGTTATTATTGCTGCTGCTGTTTTTGCATCAGACGTTGTACCTGGTGCAAGGTACATGTACGTTGCATCAGATACCTTTCTAACGTTTGTTTGATTTGTCATGAACATAAAATACCCTTTTGTAAATTTAATTTTGAAAAAACTCTTTTCATAGTATTATGCCACCCCCCACCCCCCTGGGAAGTAGGTAAATTGGTTATCAATTTGTTGGGCTAATTTTCCATATTTTTGCTTCCACTCATAAAAATCACCTCAAGAGATTCAATCAAGTTTAATCGAGAAATTTAAGCAAATGGTACAAAGACCAATACCGTATTGTAGGCACTCTCTAAAAACTTCCAGGGCTATCATTTGAATTGTTGCAGAAAAGATAATATTATTTGTAAGCAATGTTGAAAAAACATTATCATGAAATAATTTCGTTGTTGCGCATCACCAATGGGTCAAGTGATAGAAAATCATGTTTCAAAGAGGGAACTAAGCCGTGCAATGCAGGCTATGTAAAATCGAAAGCCGTCACATCTAATGACAACGTGAAAGAGGATCTATGTAGAAAAGCAAACCCGAATCCGAAGCATTATAGATTCACCATGGATGGATTTGAAACGCGTTTTTGTTGCAAAAAAAAAGTTGAGGCTGGATTGTTCTAGATTTGTTTTTAAGTTACCAAAGTACCAACAATGTGATTGCTAGCTAATGTGCTCTAGAGAGGTGTTTGGACCTCTTTTGCCGAAAAAGTGAATGAGACACTCTTTATTTGCCGACAAGTTTGAAAATTCCCTGAAAAAGCACCCCTAGATGGCAAAAAACTTTTTGTTGGTCCAGAGAAAATTTGGACTCAACAGATTGGCTGCAAACTTACTTTGGCTTGACAAAGAAATCGATTTCGATGACTTTCGGTTAAAAATACAGAGAAGGAAACAAATCTGCGGCACTTTGGCTTCAAATGTATTTCCTAATCATTGCATGAAAATGAATAAACGTATCTGCTTGCTCTATCTTGCATTTTCTGTGATTTTTCAACTATAGCACCGATTTGTAATATGCGGCGTTTATTATAGCGAGGCGTTTATAGTCATGTTTCTATGGAAAGAGGTAAAGCGTTGATTAGAGGGAAGTGTTTATTGGATCATGCGATCACCAAACTGAATTTTAGGAAACAACGAGCAGAAAGAAGACAGCCATTAACGTATTCGTCAATTAAATTACACAAAACCATCTAGCATCTAGGGAAATTATCAGAAATAAAACTTTACTTCACATGGATCAATTATGCACCGTGCAAAAATAAGACGTTATTGAAATACTTATTTTATAAAAGATAAAAAATCTGCAAAACAACGCAGTTATCCAGGCAGAGCTACTCAGTTTATTTCACAATTACACTATTTATCAAAGACTCTCTTTTCAGTCGTGTTTGCTTTTTATGTTAAACCGTTAAAAAACGTCAACTGTTTACAAAATTTCACATCTCAAGAAAACACATGCTTTTTCGAAACACACACAACTGTGGTAAGAAACTTTTCTAGTAGCTTCTTCGAAAGGCACCCTTTTAGCGCTTTACTTTAAGTCTAGGGGCTACTTACAGTTTCCTTGAGCTTTTACCAAATTCAATATTACTTCTTTCTTAGGGTGCCAGTCTTTACCGGGTCCAGCAGGATTTTTAAAAAATATGTCAGCTTCTGTATCTGTATAACATTAACAAAAAAGTACTTGGCAAAAGTTGAAAAGATCTACCCCAGTAAGCACTATAGGCTTTACGCGATTACCAGAAGCATTACGAGAAGCGAAACTACCGTCTTATTTCTTAGAAAAAGTTTAAAAGATCTAGCCCAGTAAGCACTAAAGGCTTTACGCAATTACCAGAAGCATTACGAGAAGCGAAACTACCGTCTTATTTCTTAGAAAAAGTTTAAAAGATCTACCCCAGTAAGCACTATGGGCTTTACGCGATTACCAGAAGCATTACGACAAGTAAAATTATCAAGCATTACGACAAGTAAATAGTCATTACAGGCACTAAGTTAAAAGTGCTTATTTATATATAATCAAGCTTTGACCAACTAATTACAACGACAACATAGCTTTCTTTATCAAAGTCTTATAAACCCGTTAAGGGTTATTGTTTCGCGAACGACATCAGCCGTGTCTCTTCAGGACTGATTCTCATTTCGCCTAGGCGGCTGAAATTTCTACCAGCAGCATTCACAGCTTCTGCCTTGCAGTTAGAATTAAAAAAAGGCCTAAACGTAATACTCCTGCTTTTTTGTACCCTTGGCACTTGATTTTGCCGCATTATCTTGTCCATTTGGACCATCCATACTATCGGGAGGTGGTGTAAACGTCGTCTCCGCATCAGTAGACAACGGCCTTCTGTCTTCGTTTGTCTTGTAAGCGCCAATATTGCGGTTGATGTGCTTGCAGAACAGGATTAAAATAACAAGTAGCAAAAAGGCGAATCCACAGGCAACGCCAATAATTATTGGCGATAGATCGCGTTCTACCTTGTAAAATCGAGGAAAAGGTCGTAGTGTAGCTGTTGATTGTGTTGGCCGTCCAAAAAGATACGGAAGAGGCTTCGGCGTGGGTAAAGCTTTTCCACAAGCGCCTGGAAATGCACTTCCACCAATAGACGGATCCATTTTCCCATATAAAGCGAATACATCGACTAATACCGGTTTTGATGCCATGTTCGCAAGATACCTATACTTGAAAGCAGACATACAACCAATAAAAGTCTTTACTGATCCCAAGGTAGAGGGCAAAGGTGGTTTTATACGACCTATTGAAATCTTGACCCCATCAAGCAAATCGCCATTAGTGCTGGCGACTTCCTTTCGTTTCTCCGATATTCTATCAAGCACCTCTACCGTAACCTTTTTGGCATTATGGAACACCCTGACATTGTGAATCTTCCCGTCGTCAAATCTCCCTTTCTCTGTCGTTGAATGAACCTTGATGACTTTGCTCGATGAAGAAGTAGTGTCAAAATTGAAGGAAACTTCAAGGCTGCCATCTTTGAGAACCAGTGACAAATGGCAATTCGGCTTGTCACCATGAATACTAAACAAAAGTGCATCACTGCTAGTAGTCTTGAAAGCAAGCACTGCTTCTCCCTCCATTATCTGAACGGGCTTAACAAATGTGTACATAAGACTGCTCCCATTCTTGAAATGAAGAGGATATGACTCTGAAAAAAGGATACAAAAATCTTACCAACATCAGTGTGGCTGATACATACACACTGATCACAAAAAATGTTTTCAATAAGCATATAAAAAGATGAAAAACAAAAATTTATTTTTCATTTTATTCTGGAAAAGACTATTCTATATATTTTCTCCTACATGAAAGTTTTATCATAATATATGCAACAACCGAAACATTTGTACTTCAATAAAAAATAAAAAACAACCAATTGCTACTACTGAATTGGCTTAAATGGTACTGAATTACCAAAGATAAGGCATCATATCATAAGAAGTGCAATATGCAATGTTCCAATAACAATTACCTTTGTGACAAAATTTTCCATCAAATGGTGAAAGCGAGCAATCGCACTGAAAAGAGGTATATCTCTCAATACATTTGCCATAATTGCAAGGAGCAGCAGACAGCCTGTTGCAACCGATTCCACAACCAGCATGCACCCCGTAGTTCTGCAGATACTTTGCCGTTGCCTTGATGTCAATCATCATTCCGTTGAGGAACTATAATGTAGTGAGATTAAGACATGTTCATTTAACAGCAAGGGATTCTGGCTTTAACAAAGGGTGTGCGTAGCTACCATGACAAAAGGTGCATTTAGGAAGAAATAAAGATTACAAAAGGGTAAAAACTATTTTAAATATTGCGAAACTGGAAAATGAAAATTTCTGATTTAGTGTTACTGTGAACCTAGTAATGTCTAACTGTTTTGAGTTTTTTCCAAGTATCTCCTTTCTCTTCCAAAAATCAAGCAAAGGAATGAATTCCCATGTATTTATAATTGCGGTTGAACTGTCATATTATTGTTTTATTTTGGAAAAACTTCTTATTGCTTCAAAAAACTTCATTCAAAAGAAAGAAATAAAATAAAGTATTGGTATCGCCTTTGGCGTTAATGCCTATATTGAGAATAAAATTTGTAAGATGTAGGAAATATTTTAAAAAATCTTTCAGATAATAAAGAGTTCCTTACTGATGGTTACTCTGGAATCAATTCACAACAACATAATCTGCTATTAACGCAATTTTATTCAGGAACAAGAATGCCTTAAAACCATCTGAGTTCCATTAGACTGCGTATGAGTGTTTAACGTTACAGTTAAAGCTCACGTTAAAGACGCCATGGCAATATAAAACCAAGGGGAAATATTTGCATTCAAAAGAATTGCTACAAAATCATATGCCTCCAAGAGCATATATTAATACTGCACTTTCTCAAAAAATTGCGATTAATTTTATGTGACTCATTTTTGCCAAGATTTTTCCGAAAATGTGGCTACAGTTGATCATCTCGTTAATCTTTAAATCTAGGTATAACCTTTCCAAAAAGCCGGTAGTTTGAAGAAGTAAACACCGATTTATCATTCTCATAATGTTTATATATATGCTATCGTTTTATGCACAAACCGTGCGGATTCCATTAGAGGATATTCTAGGAATTCAGTTGATGACGTCACTTACCAGTCCAAAAATGCAACCAGTGAAACCTTGGGAAACATCGAAGCCACCTCCGAGGTACATTGGATCTCCCGCTAGATCTAAATGACTCATAGACAGGGGGTTACGCTGCACTGATTTTGTGATCCCATCAACTGTAAGCTTAAGCTCTTTTCTGTTGAATTCTAAAAAAACTGAATGAGCCTTGTTATCATCGAAGTTACCAGAAATATCTATATCAACAAAGTCTGCTTGGGATCCAAGGTTGATCTCTCCTCGCAATCGTTTCTTGCTAGCAATCTGTACCATAATGTAATCATTTGATGTACGGCCTTTGCCATAAAACATAATTCCTTCAGCTTTTACTGTTTTGAAATTGAACGAAACCGTAAGCGCGTCTATTGCGTTGTTGTAGTCAGTTGCTGAGATGGGTTTTACTTGAAGAAAGGCCATCGCATCGCGAAATGAAACCGCATTATCTGTAGATGCTACGATAGAGAATTAAAACTATTAGCCTTAGCATCTGCTTATAAAGCTCATCTACATTAACCCAAAGAATGTGATCCACTAAATAAACATTCTTATAACTTACGAAAATTACTGTTTATTGGTCTGTCATGAAGTGCTCAATGCCATATAGGTAGAGCCTTACACAACAAACAACTGTTGCCTGATGATCGCATTAAGAGTTTAACTCGGAAGCATCTTAGAACCGTCCTGTTCTATATGCCAAATAGCCTGTCCTCACAACTTACAAAAACATGCCTTTGAATAAAAACAGTATGCTTTTGTAGAAAAATGTGGAAGAATCTTTTCATAAGGTTCACATTTATTCTCCTCGCTACCTTGGTATTTTTTTCTGCAATAGAATCGATACATGGGGAATGTGAGGCTTAAAAACTAGTGCGCAAAAATAAATCAGCATTGTTACTATAAGATCAAAAACAAAACCCTTGCCCTTATTTGACCTAAAGAAACACTTTACTGGCAAGGATAAGTAAAGTCCAACAATAAATAAACATTTTCCTAAGTTCAAAAAGCCTGTAAATAGAGGCATCACATCACTCTATCAATTTTTAAACATCAGCGAAAAAATCTTACCATCACCACTGCAGCTTAAAGGACCTAAAGAAAAACGACCTTTCGATCCAGCATTACTGTTGACATCCAGGAACTCAATTTTCTTCATTGGTAAATGTTTTTTGTTGGTAAGAAAACCTTCGTCTGTGGCTTCCTTCTCGGAACGTGCATCACAATTGCAGTACTTGGAAGTATCAGTGCAATTATTGTAAATGCCACAGCGACAATGATTAGTTTTGCCCTTGGAGCCTCCCCAGTAGTAGTGAAAGTAGTTCTTTGGTCCTAGCCAACGTACCTGATAAAAAAGGAGTATCCTATGAGGAATGCTATGGGTGACACAATCGCACAACAAGGCGAACGCAACACAATAAAAGTGCCTTGTTTTCACCTGTCAGTAAAACATTAGATTGCAATAAAGCAGAAACCTCTCGATAAATAGAGATTCTTACCTTCGGCTGCCCATTTGGCGAGTCATATAAACTGGATTTTGTACACACAAATTTGACATGTTGCTGACACTCGAGACTCTCCTGTGTTATAGAAACCAAACTTCTAAGGTCTGCATTATATGGTACAAATATGCTTTTCATCCCAAAACGATTTTCTACAGCTAAATCACTAGCAATTTTTGGGTAGACATTTGTTGTGACTTTATTATGATCATAGATGCATTCAACTGTTGTTGCAGGAAGAGGACCAGCTCCATCAACATCAATCTGTGTCATGCCACTAGTCACAGTTCCTTTTGCATGTGCTTTCAGTGCTGCACATGATCTACCAAACCCGGCTAAAAGAAAGGGGTTGTGCATCAAAGGAATGGCCAACTCCATATTCTCTAGCAATGAATGTTGAAATACAACACATATTGACGAGAATCACAATTCATACAATTATGAAATGTGCTATGGCTGCTCTCTTGAGGCAGATTGTACTTACCCAACGCATTTCAGGAAAGTCAAGAAACCTAAACTGAGTAAAATCGTTAACAACGTGAAAAATCAGGAATACCGATTGTGTTATACATCGCTTTATGTTATAAATTTTATAGTTATAAATCCATGTTCAGTATAAAGATAAATTGAAAAAATAAGATAATCTACTTTCAGCAAACAAGAGAATATATGAAATAGCTGAAAACTTACGCTTGTTACAGACACTCCCTGAATAGCCTGTGTTGGCGCAGTTACATGAAAACAAGACTTCAGTCTTTTGTTGACACTTTCCACCATGAAGACAGGGGTTTGGAACACAGAGTTCGTTTAAAGAGCATCTACCAAAAGTTGGTCTTAAAGAACCTTTTAAGTTCGCTACAGATTTTGCTTCATATTTGTCAAAGTCAGATATTACCAGTTTCTTTCCATTAACCATGATATTTTTCATACAGCCTGCATAATTTGGCCCAAAAAAGACTTTGTCTTTAATCTTCAAAGCTTGCTTGGCCCTAACACTAGCCACTTGCCTATCTACAGTCAGCTCAAGCATCAAAGATGATGAAAATGACAATTTAACTTCATGCCAGAAACCGTCATTCAAACCCAAGGATGAGGACTTCAGAGCAAAGTTACCATAAGTCATAGTTACTTTTCCCTCAGCATCAATATCTACATCAATGAATTGACTCAAAGCACTTTTTTGTGATGTGTAAAACAGCTTTTGATTAGTGAGAATGGTTCTAAAGCTAAACTCCACAGACATTTCTGAGCTGGTGAAATTGTAGGAAACATATGATCCATTCATTGGAAAATCAACTGAATTGAAATGCCTAACAAAAGGGCATGATCCTCTAACTGCTTTGACTAACGTGACATGATCACCATCAAGAACACTCCTATCGTTGATAGAAGAATTTGTAAAGCAAGCTTTTAAGCCTCTTCTCGTCAAGCTTTCTTTTACTGAAATTGTGTCATGAAATTTCATTCCTCCAATGTGAATATACTCTATGGTAAACTTTGCAGTTCCAGGTGCCAAAGTCCTAGTTGCATTGTATTCTGATTCCTTAAGATTGTCTATGCTAATGTAAACTTTCTGCTTCTCTTCATTGTGAATCAAAACAACATTATGCCATTCATTATCTGCTAACCCTTGTCCAACAAACAGTTCATGAAATCCAGATGATACTTCACCATAACTATCATACGTTTTACCAAAGTCAGCAGCATACCTGATAAAAATTAACAAAAACATCATTTCTCATATATCATTCAAAGCCCCCTTAAATAAAAAATGGAATTAAAGCATACCAGGGGCAGCTGATAAGTAGTTTCAGTTGACATTAGCCTAAGCTTGTATGTGTGGGATTGGGATTAAAACTGTAGCCAGACTGTGGAAATTTGCTGCGAGACAGAGACAGCAACAGACAGCTCTATACCCTGAAACAGGCATGCAGAGAAGGGTGCTGGGGGGGGGCTTCTGCCACTTTTTTCTAGACCCCTGCTTCCTCAATGCTCTGTGGTGCCTGTAAACTCTAAGTCTCTTGAAATTAGAAATAAGATTCTAATACCATGATCTGTCTGTCCCCTTAAGTCTGTTGCTTGTTCAAACCAGAGTTCATTTTGTTAAATATTAAACTTTGGTTTATAATTATGGATAATATTTGTTGTTGTTAGGAGGACTGGGTTATATAACTTTGACATAAAGGAACAATAAGTCAGAAATAGACCAATTTGACTTACAGCCTTGTTTTGGAAATTTCTCAAAATTTAATTATACAACTTTTTTAAGCTCAGATTTGGTTTTATCACAATAGATTTAGGCTGAATACAATTTTTCATTTTGTTTGTGCTTGTAATTTAGATTTTCTAGAGAAATGAAGTTTGAAAACTTGCAAGGAATTTGACCGCAAAAATCATTCCTGATGAAACTTTACCCCCTTAGTGGCGAATCACGGTCAAATCTTTTATAAAATTTTTTATCTTTATGTCGTCATAAAATCAATATCGTGAGCAATACCATAATGAAAATTTCCAAGTAGACTAAAATCATTACTCTTAATCCGAATCTGAGGTTGAAAATTTTGTATAAAAGAATTTGAGGACTTTTTCAAAACGAGGCTGTTAGTCGAATTGGTCCATTGATATTCCACAAACCTAAAGACAAAATGCATTGATTTGGATATTGTGATGCAGATTGGGCTAATTCCGAATACAGAAGAAGCATTAATGGCTATGCATACAAGTTACTGAGCAGTGTACCCAAGATACCTTGAAAAAGTAGAAAACATAATTTTGTGCAATTGGTCTAATCTTTGTTTTTTGCAATCAGTATTCAAGGAGGATATATGAGGATGATTTTTACTTTGAAAATTTGCAAACATGCTTGAACTTCATTTAAAAAAATCTTTGAAAGGGTTGTTTTTGTACACTTGCCTTAGCTTTCCACCAACCAGCTCCAGTGTTAAAAAATCTGAAGAACTCTTTGCATGAAGAATTATGCCTCTACTATCCATTGTTTTGAACTGCACTTGAAATCTGGTTAATGGACTACTAGTTTCTTTTTGGGTATAGCTTACATATCCACTTTGTTCAACTACCACATCTATAAAAATAAAGAAAATTGACATGATCACTTGACAAACTTTTAGAAAAAATTTACTTCTAGAAAACTGAACTGAAAAACCGGAAGGCTAAAACAACAGCTAACTTATATACCCATAGAACAGTTATTTTGGTTGCAGCCTCTGTATTGGGGATAGTGGGACCCATCCCCATGAGAGCTTTCCAAGAAAAACTTTTAGATTCATATACTTAAATGATTTTAAACATCCACTTTAGTTTGAGCACTGTTTTCAGGCCTGGACATTAAACTTACTTAACAGGGGAGCAGTAAGCAGCTCCCCTGGCAATTTCCAGGTGAGCTATTTGAAGGTTAATAAGACTAGAAGCAAAGGAAAATTGACTTCAAGGAGAACAATTTTATTTTCAAAGCAACTTAGTAGAGCAATCTGTAGCCCCCCCTCCAGCATTTGAGGAGAGTAAGAGCTATGGCCCTCCTCAAATGCCAAGTTTGTGTTTTCAAATTTTGTGGCTTTGAAAATTAAATTAATTGAGTTTCTTTTGAAAATTAAACAAAAATACATATCAGAAACCTTCTTTTGTGCTTTTAAGGCTAGCCCAATCAAATGCTTTTCAGAGTTTAACTATTCAAGTGAAAAGTGCCCTCAGCCTGGTCAATTCTACATCAAATGGTAAACATGCACATAAAGACCATTTTTTTAATTATATATCATTAGATAATTTAACAGTAAACATTTTGGGAATTTCTATAATTCTATTTAAATTCCCTAATGTCTAACAGATTGACAAAGGTGTGTAGCAATACCTGCAGGGCCTATTTCAAGCATGGACAGGTTCTCTGATTGAGTATAAAACATGAAATGGGCCACAAGATGAAATTCAAGATTTTTATGTTAATGACCAAGCTTAATGTGACTTTTAATCATTGAACAGAGCTTGAGAGGGCTGGTTTATTTAAGGAAGTTTGATTTATATCTTTTTAGTGCTCAATACACCAAGCCTAATACTTGAAAATACCTTCTAATCAGCAGGTCTTTTGCTACAGATTTGATGGCATCAATTCATTTTCAAATAATGCATAATTTATGAAGCCATGCAATTTGGGTGTGCACAAAGATCTTAAAAACATAAAAAATTCTACTCAAGAGACTCAAGATCAAACATTCTATTTCTGTTAACATAATGAAGAAATGCAACATACTTCAAAGAAAATAGGATTATTTCGTGATTTTATTATTTCATATTACAGTTTGGGTGTCCTTGCAATCATGACAAGCTTGGCAATTCACATAAAAAGTTGTTTTTGGTTTTAAAATTTTAACATTGTTCATGTCTGTCACCTAATGTTTGTTCAGGAACAAACAATTTTGCAGAATGATACGCTAAACAACATTGTTCTCTATTCGAAAAAAAACATTTGTTAAAAATAATTACAAGTGGCAAGTCAAGTCGCTTAGAACGATTTGGTTCAATTTTATGCTCATGATCTACAACGGTCCAGTAAATTTTCTTTCTACTGCCTAAAACTGTTTTTCAGGGAGAAATACCTTCCATAGATGAAACAGAAACTTTGAATGCCTTCATCTGATGTAGTTGATGCCCTGGTGTATTTGTTTAGTTATTCATTCTAGGGTAACTACATCGTGCATTTTCCACCACCAAAAATTAAACCTTTCTTATACATCGTATAAGCAGCAACGCATCGTGTCATTTGAGACAATCTTTGGTCTTTGGTCAACTAGTTTGACCAAAGATTAAGATGCAAAAAGTATGTAGACAAAGCTGTCAAGCGCAAGTAAAAACAAATATAGGTAGGCCTACTCTGGCCGGGCCTAGGTCGTCACCAGACGAAGTCATTTTCGTGTCAGTATTAAAACTGAAAAAAAAGACGAGCTTACAGTGAAAAGCTTGAAATGGTAGAAGTTTGAATAAAACTTACCACAAAATATCGCATGCAATATCACAACTAAAAAAATTGAAAGGAATGTCCAACAACTTTCAAGCGCCATATTGGATAGCACTTGACACCCAACCCCTCGAGACCTTCAAATTCCAGACCTTGGTTCCCAATCTCCTTTCGCAAAAAGAACAACAGAACTGAAATTGAACAAGGGAAAGACGGGTGAGGTAGGATGTGTCATTATACCTAATATAAAATTTTGTCAGTTTTCCTTATTGGCTATGAGAACGCTATTTTGACTATGTTTTTCTAGTTCATTGGCGTTCCTACGCACATTTTCTGTTAGCAACATCATTATCGCAAACAACCTAGTATATGCCCCACATCACTTGCGTTTGTTGCTATCAACTAGGGTTGGGCTAGGGTTCTATGAAATAAGAGAACTGCTGTCTCCCACAAAGAGTTGGGTTCAACTCTATTTAAAATTTAACGTTGGAAAGAGGGCTTCAAGAGGATGACATTCGATTTTTTGTAACATGTGGGCTAAGAAGAATGTAAGGCTGCAAATGCATTCCTCGAAGGCTTGTATGTGGTACATGAGGAGAGGCAGGTGTCCCCAAACATTTTCAAATGACAGCCTATCGACAGCGTGAGTTTAAAATCTGAGTAACTGCTCTTTTTGAAAAATTTTCACAGTAATAAAACAGGAATACTATTTATTGAAAAAACCCCGACAGCAGGCGTGCAACTACTTAGGGGGTCCTGGGGGCCATATCCCTGCCCTTTTCTCAAAAGAGGAAAAGTGCACTTTCTCTTGGAAAATTGCTTGAATATTTTTGTTATAAAGCTAAAAAGGATGGTCATAAATGACACATTCCGGCGATGTAATAGGCCTCATAGAAATACAGAGAAAGGATATTGTCAGTCTTTCACGCACTCGTTGGGTCGAACGTCATCCTGCATTTACTCTATGGAATACACTCATTTTTTTTTTAAGAAACAAAGGTCGATGTTGAGTACTCCAGTTTCTTGATGTTCTGGAAATTTCAATACTCATTGTTTCTTAAGAGTTTCTTAATCATGAATGATGTTATGAAGTGTTTATGACCTTTTTATCACGTCAAGAGATTCGCTTCCGTTCTGATGCTGTATTTAGATGTGGGAAGTATTTTTTTATCTCTTGTGTCTTAAGTTCTAGGTTAACAGGGCAATCTTGTTCTTGGATTTTACAAAATTTCGTTGTTCTCAGTTTTATCACGATTCAATAGTTTTCTTATTTTTTTTTGCTTCGAGTACTTAAGTTTATTAATTTTTTCTAACTGTCCAGTACTCGTTTCTTGTAGCCAGCCTCAATCGAGTGTATTGCGTGTATTGCCGTGTGGCTTTCATTCACCCTATATGTTCCACTGACTGATGTATCAGAAAATGACAGTAATCGAGACTATAATAACATAAATTAATAGTGTATTGGAATTAGATAAAAAAACGGTCTAGCCCGGATAAAAATAATACAAAGCTGTGATTTGGCACAGATGTTCTATACTAAGTTGGAAATGACCAGAAAAAAGCCCCATCAATTGGACATTGGGAATTCATTATATGGGCAAATACCATAATGGCGCACTGATCAGTAGTGGTTCAAAATTTTAGTGTTGCTAAAACCACATAGTATGTACATCTTTTGAAAGATAATTTCATGCTGAATAACTTTTATTTAGCATACGTACCCTAAGATTATGCAAATTTAGTGGTGATTGGGCAGAAATAAAGTGGGACGATTGAATATTGAAAAGCGCGCAGAAGAAAGGCTGATCTTCTTGCTGAATATTTTCATTTTATATCGCAAATTCTATCGATGCAAAATCATCAAGTGTGCGAATATGATAAAGTATGATGATACCCATCAAGCCCGGGCTGACTCAACCCGGGCCCACTCAGCCCGGGCTGACTCGACCCGGGCTGACTCTAGTGAAGTTTTTCACTGGAGCAGCAAATTCCGGTCAAATCTAAAGAAATATCTTCAAAATAGATTCAAAACAAAGTAACTCGCGACCAAACGGTCCAAACAACATGATTTTTTCAATATAAACTAATTTAAAGATAAAGGTTTCAATTCTGATAGTTTTTCAACTTTTTTCATTGACATCCTTCATCTTAGTAATTTTTGTTACTAAGACGTAAAAAACACTGCCAAATTCAGTGCAAATTCAAAGTGGCTGCACAAAACTACAGCTTGATGCTGGGCCCGTAATATTCCCTAAAGAAAAAGAGAAAAAGAGACAACTTCCAAATTACGTATAATCCCAAAAATTGCAAAATTTTCAATTGAGAAGTGTTCACATGAAAAAGAGGGTGTTTTGAGAGTACCTAGGACCCAAAACCCGGAAAATAGTTTTGAAAAACGGAAACCTGGACTTAGAAATTGGAAAATCTTGAGACAAATATATATATACTTCAACGTGGTTCACCTTTTCCCGTGTTCTGCATTAAAAGACCTTCGTACCCGCAGTTATCACCAGCAAGAATACTTGTCTGCAAGGCACAGGGTAGATCCTTGCCTTTTTTCTCCAAATGAAGATGTAGCGATAAAGTATTTACTCTGTTTATAGTGATGTTAATTTAAACTGTTTATCTCAGCTTCACATTGCTACATTGCGCCATGCTTACTCAGCCTCTCTCGTTTCTTAATCTAGAACTTTCCTTCTCAATTGCATCATCATTACATCATCACAACACATCATTACTCAGCACATTTATTTTGTATATAAGTATGTTAATTTGTATGTAATTCAGTCAAGTCAGTCAAGTTCAGTTCAGATCAGAGTTATACAGCAATACACTGTCTCTCTCACTGGCTCCGTGTTCTCTGCACGTTAAATACTTTATCGCTACAAAGATGTCTTCAGTGTTTGCGGAAGAACAGAATTTTAGGGAAATTTGTCGTAGATTGCGGAAATCTGGCAATTTTTCAACGGAACGAGGGAATTCTACACACTTGCCGGACGCAGATTTTCTCAAAATAATACACGGATTGCAGAAATTTCAAAATGTTTAGCGGGATTCTTAACCTGCTCCTTGTTGGATAGGATTTCATCACGCATGGTTTGATCTTGTTAATATATAAGTTGTTTATAAATAAACTTATATACATTCAGAGGCGGCGCCAGAAATCTTCCGAAAGAGGGGTTGGAGCTTCCAACAGGGTGGCTAAATTGACTATAATATGCAGTTTTCGTACGTTATTTTGTCAAATTTGCTCCGACAAAAACCTAAAATTTTCTTTCGATAGGGGGGCTAGATGCTTCCGATGATTGGACTGTAGCGCTCTAGCCCTCCCCTGGCGCCACCACTGTATACATTCTATTACCCAGTTGCCCCCTATCTGCTATTTTTGACCAGAAAGTACTTATTTCCACATTGTAAGGGCGTGTATGTTGAATAAAAGTTGTTCAGCATGAAACTGTCTTTCAGAATATGTACATATAATGTGGTTTTAGCGACATCAAAATTTGAACCCCTGCTGATCAGTGCGCCATATGGGATTTGCCCAAATAAGGAATTCCCAATGTCCAATTGATGGGGCTTTTTCTGGTTATTCCCAGTATCGTATGGAACCTAAGTGCCAAATTACAGCTTTTTATTATTTTTGTCCGGGTAAAATCGTAATTCCACCACACTATGATTAGTCATGTAATTTGTTCCTTGCAGGGGCGAAAATCCCGGAGGGGTGTGTGGGAAGGGGAGTGTGTGACACTGCATTAAAGCTAACAGAAAATGCAACGATTATTGATACATATGTTTAGTGCATGTTTGAGTCCACACAAAGCAACTTAAATTGTAAAAAACTTTCTCGTGACAGGTACAGGGTGGGGTACCCTCGGGGTAAGAGGGGTAGCGTGAAGCCCCTAACTTTTTTCAAGATAAGAATTTTTACCGTTTTTCTATTCCTTTAAAAAAGGTGTATGAAAAAAGGAGAACAAACTGTTTAGATGCCGATTTTGTTTGGTTTATTCACTAACTTATTCAAGTCGATGTGCAATCAGAAACGAAAGGTCACAATTTCTTTCCCCAATATCTGTCACTTGAGTTTTAGCATGACACCTCCCCTCCTCGATTGTTCCTTCCCAAAAAACAATAGTCAGTGTTCTCTAAAACCCGTCGAATTTTCCTTCCTAAGCAGTATAGTACTTTGCTAAATTTTAGCCTGGGAGATGCTTTTTTAGCCCTTCTACAAGTTACAATTTCAAAGATTTTCTTTTGCGTCAAACTCAACAATGGTGGGTCCTAATCAGGGTTGCCAAGTGCTGGCAAGTCCTCAATTCTAAAGTTTCTGAAAATCAATCCCAAATCAGTCCCAAATCAATCCCAAATCAATCCCAAAGCAATCCCAAATCAATCCCAAATCAATCCCAAATCAATCCCAAAGCAATCCCAATTTTTTCAAGAATAGATTCCTTCGCAGAAGTTATAGAAAGGGATAGATATTCCTCTGCAGCCTTGCCTTCTATATTTCCTGTGCAATGAATTACACATTGTTCAATGTTACGGTTGCTTAATTTGATATCTAAATAGTCGAGTTAGTATTCATAAGAATTGAGTTGCATCAACATACATAGTATAAAAGTGTGAAGGCTTAAACTTGGGCATTGTGCATGAAGTATGATGAGCCAGAACAACATCAGATAACTTTCAAATTTTTCGCGCCAAGCGAATTTTTCGCCACGAAATTTCTAGCTGCGAATTTTTCTCTCGATTTCGAAGTTCAATTTACACTGGCGAAATTTTTATATGAATTCGCTGGGAATATTACAGAAGAATATAGCGACTGTCCGAAGAGTGCTCTTATCAGCAATTTTAAAATTTTAAATTTATCAAAAAAGCGATACTGGATTAGAAAAATTTATTCAGGACGTCTTCAGAAGGGAGAATTCCGTTTACATTTATAAGACCAGTATAACTTCTTCAAATACTTTCAAAGGTCGCTATCGAAGCTTGCACAAGCATGCGAGATCCTGTTAGTGCATCTGTTTAAAACTGTTGCTGTTGAGCAGGACAATAAGCAGCCCGCAATTAAGCAATATGAAGAAATCCTTGCCTATTTTTTTTATTTCTGCCATATTGGTAGAACGATGAAACTTTCGAGCAAGTTTTCGTAAATTTGAAATTCAAATGTTTGAATTATAATCTGATATAAATCAACTTACATGGATTGTGTACAAGGAACAGGAAATGAATAATTACCAACCTATTTTATTGTCGTTTTAAAGGCGAGAGTGTTTGAGAAAAAGAATGCGGAAAGACGTAGGCCATCAGAAACCAAAACAGAAATCAGGTGTCTTCCAATGCTGTTCTGATTGATTTATTTTACAAGGCGAAAGTTTCGCAAGCGATAGAGTAGGACCGTGATCTACTTTCTGCGAATCGAATTTTTTCTACATTCAAAAAAATGCACGCTCCCCTTCCACAAGTATTTGAACGGGACCCAATAACAAAAACAAAAAGAAAAGACAAATTGCTTATATTGATAGAATGACAAATAGAATCACCACAAAATTTCAAGAAATCATGAAACAAACTATGAATTACGCAAAATTTTACATTCAAGTCAATCATTCTTCTATTTGTGGCTCACTACATTGTCTTTAGTAGCGCTAAAGGTGCTAAATAATAGTCAATTTTAGCAATCCATTGACCAATTATAACAAATTATCCATTCTTGTCTGATAATCCCAAAAAATCCCAATTTTTACTTTGAATCCCAAATAACAATTTCTGATCCCAGCAGTTTTTCCACAGTTCAAGTTTCGTGAAATCTGGGATTGAATAATCCCAATTGGCAACCCTGGTCATAATACCTCACTAAACTTGATACTACTTACGCCCCAAGGTTCAAATTTGTCGTGTCGTTCCTATCATGTAGCCGAAACACATATGCACCCTCTCCCCCCATGAGATGTAAGCTTTATTGCAAAGAAAAATCAAATTTGAAATTTAATTTATGCTCACAAAGATCTATGAATATTTCATAGGCGATAAAGTTTTAAATTTGTTTTTATTGCCTATAGATTTATCCTTGGTAAAGAAAAATGTATCTTGGTAAAGCTTTCATTAGCATTCTATAGACATAACTTTGCTTCGAGGTCTGCAGAGCACCAATCAATTTTGCAGGGCAGAAACCCTTTCACCCCTCCCCAAACTTATTAGCCGAGTTACGTCCCTGGATTCTTGCAAAGGATTTCTTTAGATGGAGCTCTCTTAGTAGATAAACCAATCGAGGAGAGAGCATTCCCTTTTTGGATACATGGCTGACAGAACAATTTCACTAAACATTTCACTCAACTTTTGTTAAGTGAAGTTGAGCGAAGTTTAGCGAGGGTGACAAAACGTGACTAAACTTTTCACTAAATTTCACTCGAGCAGCGAGCTAGCTACGACGCTGTTGGGCTGTAGGGGATCTTGCATAGGAATTTGCTTTTGGTTTATTTTGTTGCATGCGTAAGCAGTGGAATAAAATAAGAATCGGATGAAGCGACGGGGAAAGAAAAGACTTTTTAGCACATTGACAAAAATTTTGACTGTTGAAGAAGACACAGTGGCGTACAACGAGATATTCGGATGTCTCAAAAAGGCTTTTTGGGTCACGTAGAGACAAGAAAACCAACGAAAACAGACGAAAACCTTTGGATTTCTACAGCTAGAGCGCCTGCGCGATCACAAGAAATGTTTAATTGGTGGTAAAACGACTAAACATTTGCTAAACAACACTGAACAAAGCTAAACATTTTTGACCAGGATCAAACTTTGCTCAACAACACTCAACACGACTAAACAACAATAAACAGGGTGGCAAAACGACTAAACTTTTCACTAAACTTTTAACTAAATAAAAGTTTAGTGAAAAGTTTAGTGAAATGTTTAGTCGTTTTGCCAGGGCATTAGAATCAAATAGTTCTTCGTGAATAAAAACTTTTTAAGCTATTGACAAAAACTGACAACAGATGATGATATTTTTATAACTACTGGAATTTTTGGCAAGATTTCGCACCAAAGAAAAGCGCATCAAGAAAATGTCATTTTTCTGACTTGCGACTTGCTGTGTACCATGCTGGTGAGCATTTGTTACTGATTAAAAAAGTTGTGAAAACCTTTTGGTGAGTTCGTATTGAAAGAATCATCAAGCATGAAAAGGCATTATACGGTGCAAACAAGGTAAATCAAACCACCCTTTTTCGTGTTCCCTCTGATAAAGGAGGGGGGCCTTCGACGAAGGGGGGCAGGGGGCCATGGCCCTCTCACGTTTTTGCAAAACAGTAAAGCTTTTTCAGAATCTTGTTTATGATTATTAAATTTTCCCTCCCCCCTCCCCCATTTTCCAACTTGCGGGAGCCCGTGTAAATTGATCATGATATCTACGGATCGGCCACTTTTTTGACCTCCTAGCCTGCGTGTAGAAAAGTTGAGGGTTTTTCCTATAGGTTTCTCTTTTTACGGAAGGATAAAATAAAAGATCTCTTGGACCACATTAATGTTATCTATTTTACAGTGGTGAGCGTCATCAGTGCACAAAATCAGGGTGTGATCGTGTGGAGGAAATTACTAATGTTGTAAACGCGGGATAAACGAGGGATTGCTTGAAGGCGGGCACTAGTGAATCGTTCACCAGGAAGAGGAGGTAGAACGTGATTTAGTGAGGAAAGTTTCGTATCGACAGCACACACACACAGAGAAGTAAAGACAGGCTGAAGCTTAATCTTTTTCGTATTTGAAAATGGCTGTTTTGCCAATAAGATTTATTTTTCTAAGTTGTATTTTTATTGGTATCTGTAACTGCTTCAATGTAGAGGTCAAGTCAGCAAAAAGTTTCTCTGGTGCTGGCGGAGAATATTTTGGCTTCACAGTTGCCTTCCATAAGGCTGAAAATGCTTATTGGTAAGTACACATGCATGATGAAATATTTTTATCTTGCTTTTTGAGCAAAAATGTTTCTTTTGGGAGATTATTCGGGCAATGATGTGCTAGGCCATGCACGAGTTTAAAGTATTTTGATTGAGAAGTCTTGTTGACAATGTTTACAGTTTGATGACAAAAATAGAGATACTGAATTATTTAAAAATATTGATATTGGATATTGACGAAGTGTCAACCATTCTTTAAGTCTGTCATTAGAACTTAGCAAAGACACTTAACTGCTCATTTAAGGCTGTCCGGCACATATAATGGTTGGACTAGAGTAGAGTCAATGGGAATTATTATCCATTCGAGAGTAAATGATGGATTTAAATCAGGATTTTTAATTCTTGGTTGCTATTTCCTGTCTAGATTTTCTTCTTTTAAGACGTTACTGATTTTAGGCAGTGAATACTTTTAACAATTAAGGTCCTTTGACAGGCTTATATTTTTGTTTTGACTGTTTTTGTTTATTTTTAAAATATGTCCCCTGTTTCAAATAGGGCATTGGTTGGGGCACCTATGAGCAACCAAACTGGTAGCAACATACAAGAAAAGAATGGTGCTGTCTATAGATGTCCAATTAGTGGAAGTTCTTGCATCAACATGGCAATAGATGATGGAAGTAGGTCTTGCAGATATCCGGATAAGTTTATGTCTCAACCTTTCTATAATATACTTGATTTCTCATTGATTTTTGCCTTTTCAACAAAGATTGTACACTCTATGCCATATAAGAGCATGCGATGTCACCCTTAGTTGTATTTTTATACTTACACCCTTGTTCTTCAAGAGTTTAACCTAAGATTTGTTTTTAAATCCTTTCTAATAAGAGAAAAGCAAAATTTGTCATCAAACTTTATGTATTGCTAATATTTAGAATTACATGTAGATCTTTTAGATTGCTACACTTCCCCCTTCAATAGCACAAGATTTTCCTTCCAGCCCCTGCATTTGATGAAATCAAAACTGGCCAATGGATGGGTGCCTCACTTTACTCTATGGGAGCTGATCAAGGAATTATTGTAAGTTTCATATATGTCCTACATTAAAAAATCTTCTATCCTACACTGACAGCCTAGTTATGGCTGGAAGTATTCTTCATAAAAGCCTCTGCGCACTTTCTGGTGCAATGTAACAAAATTTGGTCCAAGCCCAAAGCATCAAGCCCAAGCAGATACAAATTGACTATTTTAAGGCCCCAAACAGAGTATCTTGGTTGCAGATTTTTTTAATAAATTTTTTCTGAGTCACAGGAACTTTGAACAATTTATTCTGCAATCTGTTTTGAGAACTTATCAAAATTGTTTCTAGATGAGCAGCTAGCTGTGATGTTGACTTTTACTATTGTTCATTTTTTTGTCACTGGTTTGTGTTTCTATGCTCAAAATGAGTCAACACTGAGGGTTACAAATATTTTCTGTCTCTAGCTGGCCTTGCTAGTCAGGGAAAGATCTGCCATTTTTGCCATAATTAAACATAAAAAGTTGAAGGAAATATTTGTGAAACTATTCTGTGCAAACCCTGTATGCTGTTGTCAATGAACATCTGGTTGTAATCACATTGAATTTATAAGTTCAATCACAGGTTTTAGCTCACAAATACAAAGAGACCAAAGGAGGACTTTGATGCATTTCTTTTATTTCTTTTGTTTTCAATGGTCTTCTTGCGGTCATTGAATGAAGTATCATGATTTCTTGTCATGGCTTTGATGCATTTCTTGTGATTAAGAATACTAGAAGGTCACACAATAAAGGTTATCATAGTTTTATTATTATTTTGAATGATATTGGTTTATTCAACTTCCCTAGGCATGTGCACCAAGATTTATCGATAAACCCCACGGTAGTGTATGGTTACATGGAAGATGTGGTTTTGTAGATGGTAAAACATTCCAAGCTGGTACTACCTTTTGGAACCCTTGTGAATTTCGTAAGTTCATTTATGTTATGTATAGGAAGTTGGAGCTGCTTGTTTTAATTTCGATGAGGTTACCCACTGGAATTTTCTCTCAAACCTTTTTAAGAAAGCCTTTTTGCCAGTATAGAGATCTTAAATTGTGATGTCACAAAAATCTATTTTTAGAATCTGTGAATTTTGATCCCATAACCTGAAAGAGCATCATGAAATACCAAAAGATTTGCTTAGGGTAGAAAATAAACATTGATATTATGCTTAATTATAATCATTATAACTGCTTGCAAGGTCATATTTTGCCTGTTCTCCTGTAAGTTGTTTCAATTATCCATTTTCCATCTTCAATTCCATTATATTTGCTATTTATTGCAGACCATTATTTGTTTCATTTCTTGTTATGATGTTTCTAAAACAAAGAGGTTTGTTTAGAAGAACAGTGCCTGTGTTATAAAACCATCACTAAGCCTTCTTTCCGCAACCTGTGTTTCAATTTCCAAGTTTTTTCTCATAGATAGGAATCAAGGAAATACAGCCTTTGGTTATTGTGAAACAGGATTCAGTTTGGCATATTCCTCTGGTTTTGTTGCTGTAGGAATACCAGGAGTAATGCAAGTACAAGGTAAGAGCTGCTAGATTATTCTATTAAGGTAAAAAAAAATTTATGATAAAACTTCTTTGATCTTTGCTGTTCCCCTTTGACATAAGATTAGCATTTTGTTTTGAAAGTGATTAGAAATTTTTCTGTTTAGTCGTTTTATTATCATTAAAAGTGTCTCCCTAGAAAGGACAGTTTGTATAGACTCAGTTCTGCATCATTTTAAGGTTTATTTTCATTTCATTTTTCGTTTTCATTAATCTATTCTATATACAGTCTAATACATATTACAATACAACTAAATACAACTAAAATGATAATAAATTTATTACATCAAACAAAAAATAAATAAATATGAGACTGTATATAAATTAGACTGATTAAGGAGGAGCTCTTTAAATAGATAAACTAATCGAGAGAGAGCCCCCCATAAAAGAAAACTTTAAAGAAAATTATTATTTAAAACAACAACAAATATTGATATATATAAATATGAATACAAAATATAAATGAACCAGATAAGCCTCATCAAATTCACTAGTTAAGCATAGGAGTCAATAAAGTATGCTTTTAATTTAGATCGAAAAACAGAAATTGAAGCAGCAAATCGTATAAAGAGCAGAAGAGTATTCCATAATTTGGAGCCAAAATATTGTACTGCTTTGAGGCAATAAAGGGTTGTTCGTTTCAAGGAAATTAATAGATCACCTCGGGTGGCGTGACGTGTTCCAAACCTATGAACAGAAGAATCCAGCGTGAAATAATTATGAAAATAAACTGGTGAGAGCTTATTTATAGCTTTATAAACAAATGTTAGAATGTTTAAACGTAATATATCTTCAAGTTTGACTGTCTTTAATGAATGAAATAAAGGTGCAGATGGGGCTGTAGGTATTTGAAATTTTATACATCTAAGGAATTTTTTTTTGCAACAGAAATAATGGAGTTAGGTAGGTGTCAAATGTAAGACCCCAAACAATAGTTCCGTAATTAAGAAATGATGAAAAAAGTGAATTTTACAGACAGACAAGAGTTGGTAAGGGAATCCAGTGTCTTAGTTTGAAGTAAAGCCCAGTGGTTCTAGAAAGCTTTTTGCGAAGTTCACAGGAATAGTATTTCCAGGAAAGGTGTTCATCAACAAGGCCGCCTAGGAACTTAACATACTTAGTTCTTTCTATATTTTTTGGCAAATTTGAGAGGGATCACGTCTGGTAGTTTCTTCTTGGGTGCGTGGAATAGTACAAAGCTAGTTTTGTCAATATTCAATGCAAGTTTGTTACAATCCATTCAGGTTTTTACCTTCTTGAGTTCTTTATTTACTGTTTTGGTCAGTTTAGTAAGATCATCTGTTTCAAAATAAATATTGGTATCATCAGCAAATAAGAAGAATGTTAAAAGCCTAGATGAGCTTTGTAGGTCATTTATATAAATTAGAAATAACACGGGACCCAGCACTGATCCCTGAGGAACACCCCTTGTGATATTACAAATAGAAGATGAATGTCCATTTACGGAAACAAATTGATTCAAACCACTGTAGAGAATTTCCTAGGATTCCACAGTGTTCCAGCTTGCTTAGAAGAATATCATGGTTTACAGTATCAAACGCTTTTTGGAGATTAATAAATATTCCACACCCAAATCTGTTATTGTCTAGGGAAGGCTTGATATTCTCAGTTAAACTAACTAGTGCATGGTCAGTAGCATGACCAATACAAAATCAAAATTGCAAGTTAAACAACAAATCACATGCCTCAACAAATCTATAGAGGCGTTGATGCATTAATTTTTCAAATATTTTGCTGAAAATTGACAGGAGATAAATTAGTCTATAATTTGATTTTTTGGTAGTGAGACCTTTCTTAAATACTGGTCAGCTATGGGTTTAGTGTGGAGGGTGTTTGTGTTACAGCTTGACTTTTTCCATTTATATCAAACCTTATGAAAATGCTTTCGAATCGCATGGATTACTCAGTCACAGTGATTTGTAGAACCAATTATGCTATTTAGTCGTAGAATTCCCTTACTCATTTTTGTGTGAAGACCTAATGTAATAAGCTCAATAACTCAGTTGTTTAACCTATTTTTCTTAAGGAATAAAACATTGAAGAGTTTTGTGTTAAACATAGCTTGCACTATATATATGGACAATGATTGGATAAAAAAATGGAAAAAATATATTACTCCTTGAGCTCTTGTCAACAAATCATTATATAAAGAAATTTTTGGGGTGTGTCTGCAATTCTCATACAGTACACCAAACTGGTTATGCCACAGATGATCAAAATTTTTGAGGTGCTAACTATGTCAAAGAGTTCACATAGCTTGCACATTAATATGCCTTCATTTGAAGCCCTCATTGGTTTGGATTTCATTCCTTGATTAAGTTGCCAACTTAAGTTATTACTAATTTGCTTTTCACTTGAAATCTGCAACGAAAAACGAATCTCCAGCACAATCAAAAAACAAGCTTCACTGAAAGAGCATCTTTGAAGGAATTAAGTAACTTTAGAAAAAGAAAGACAATTAAGGCCCTGACTTTCATATTATGTTGCTTGATGATCTTGTCTGTTACAAATTGATACCTTTCATTATTTAAAGCAAATATCATGGTTCAAAATTATCAGTAGTATACGTGCATACTCAGCAGTACGATCCTTGTGTGTGAGCTTTTTAACACGGTTTGAATAACCTTATAGCTTCATGGCTAAAGCCAATTTCACACAAATCAGTTTTATACATATGTTTAACGGCTGCTTCTTCTGACTTGAAAACTAGTATTACCCTGCCCTGCGAGATTACATTTTCTCTTACAGGAATTATTTATCAATGATGATGATCATCATCATCAGCCGCTCAGGCCACTGCAGGCCGATGGCCTCAACAAACTCTTCCACAACTTTCTTTCTTGTGCTTTCCTCATCCAGGTGATACCTGCAATGTTGTGCAGATCATCACGATATCTTCCCCTTGGCCTTCTTGGTCTTCGTCTTCCCACTCGTGGTATCCATTCTGTGGCCTTCTTTGCCCATTTTGTGGGATCCATTCGTGCGACGTGTCCTGCCCACTGCCATTTAAGCTTTTCTACCTTTTCCAGGATGTCCGAGGCTTTCATCCGTGACCTTACTTCTTCGTTTCTCCACTTATCTCGCCGTGTGATGTTTAACATTGCCCTCTCTATGCGTCATTGAGTGACTGCCAGTTTGTCCTTCTGCCTTTTTGTTGGTGTCCAAGTTTCTGCTGCATATGTCATTGCTGGTAGTATGGCACCATCCATTATTCTTTTCTTCAGGTTCAACGGTATTTATTTCTTTCTCAAAAACTCGCTATATTGGCCGAATCTCTGCCATCCTGCTGTTATTATTCTGTCAATTTACTTGTTTAGCTCGTTATTTGCTGTTATTAACTGTCCCAGGTAAATGTACTCTTCTACCTCTTCAATCTTCTCGTTGTCTATTTTGATTCCCGTTCTTTAGTATTTCTTCCCTGGGGTGTTGCACATGACCTTGGTCTTCTTCTTGTTCATTTTCATCCCATCTTTAATTCCTTCTCTGTTAAGTTCCTCAAGCATTTTCCCTAGTTCTTCCTCGCTTCCTGCAAACAGTACGATATCGTCTGCAAATCGCAAATTACTGAGATACTCGCCATTGATGTTAATCCCCATTCTGTCTAAACCTGTCCTTTTAAAATCTCTTCTAGTGCTTCCGTGAACAATATTGGCGACAGTGTATCTCCATGGTGCACTTCTTTTTCGATGTTAATTGAGGTACTCAGTTTGTCGGCTCTGATTTGCGCTGTGCCGTCTGTGTACACTACACTAATTTCAAGTTGAAATCCGCTGTTCTGGTCATTATTAGCCAAAATTTTGCGTCCTAAAATTGTTCATAGATGCTGCTGACCAAAAAAGCGAGGTTAGACCAGGTTCCTTTTTACAAGACAACGGGTGAAGAATTCCGCAAATTCGTAAAAGTTTATATAAATTCCGTTTCCCATGTAGCATTCTCGAGAAAATTTGCGTCTGGCAAGCGTGGAGAATTCCGTCGTTTCGTCAAAAAATTGCCAGATTTCCAACATCCGCGACAAATTTTCTTACAACTCAATTGTTCCGCAAAGCCTGATGACCCCCACAATAAGCCTTGTACCATGGTATCTAATTTGTATATACATTAAAGTTACCTGCGTCACCAGATTAGCCAGAAGTAGTATTTACCAACGAAATTTGCATGCAGTGCAAACTAATCTTAGACTCTGCTGACGCATAACCCTAGTGCTAAATAGCCTATCAATTTAAATAAACCATATACATGTTTCTGTCAGTGAGAGAACCAACACGTATGAATCCTATATCCTGCCTAAACTCTATGCCAGACTGGCAATACAGTGATTTTAATTATGTTTCAGTAATAAATCTTTCCTTTCGTTTCAGGTCGCTTAGCTGTCCAGTACCTTTCAAATATCCTCGGGGGCTCAATAAACTTTTTACCAACCAGTGGGGATAGGCTTGACCTTGGTGACACAATGGGTGATTTTATATTAAGTTTTCGTTGATATTATTTTCTAACTAATGCCTAGTTACAAGTCACAGTTAGCTGGTGCGAGCCTTATTGCAGATTCTATATTTCTGTCTCTAGATACATTCAAAAACTCACTGGTCTGCTGATTTATATGACTATTTTGATTCTTGTAGAACTCGTGCTGTAAAATTCAGTGACCTTGATCAGAAGGTTTCAAGAATCGAAAGCTCGAAATAAATATTTTTGGCCTTCGTATTTTTGCGATGCAATCGTCTCTAGTAGAGATTATGGTCTCCTTTTAGTCAGGAGCATTTGCCAACAATTTCAAGGAGTCAGTGCATTATGATTTCCCACATTTTAATCAGTGATTTTTCTTTAAGATTGATATGATTTTAGAAATGATTTAAGACCTTATTTTATGATGGTTTTCTGCTGCCAAGTAGCATTTCATAAATAAATTCGGCTTTAAAAAGCAATTGATATTCTGTACTGATGGACATTTTATTTATGACTTAGGTTTCAGCATTTCTTGGGGGAACTTTTCTGGTTCCAAACATGGAGGTAAATTGATAACGTTCAATTTTGTTCAAAGATTCAAATATTTTCCGTACAAGTAACCTTTGGTTTCATTTAAAAGTCTTGCTTTAATGTTTTTTATGAAAATAACTCTCATTTTCTTCCTTGGTATAATCTGTGTAGCTCATTCTTCGTATAATCTGTATAGTTTTCTCTCTGTTTGCAACATCAGTAAATATGTAAATATAAATAATATCATGGGTTTGGGAGTTTAGCCTCGCAGTGTTTAACATTTTCCATTATTTGAGCTTCTATGCTTTTTATGTCGTTATTTGGTTAGGTTATTCATACTAAACTTGGGTACAGTATGAACTTAAAACAAAGAACCTTTCGTATTTTACTAGTCTTTAAATGTATTCAATTTTTCAACTACACCAATTAACTTTTTGCCCTCAAACGCAAGGCTCTTAAACAGCGGCTCATTTTGCAGATCCTTGACTTTTTTTTCATTATCTTCTCCAAAAATTGTTCCTTTTGAAATCTCAAGCTGGGTATTGTTTAGAAAATTGTTTAGCATTTTGGCAAATCTTAGCCTCATTAATTGTTTTGGTGCTTTTTATGAATTTAATGTTAATTCAAACATTCTGTAATATATTTTTTCTCTATTTTGAAGATATTGTTGGTGGTGCACCAAATGGCAGTAACCGGAAGGGAAAGGTGAGATACATGTTAATATGCCTGAGCAAATTGATAGTTTTTGTACAACACGACCTGTTTTGCCTTCACTACGCAATAAATATTTCCCACTAGTGTTGCCAGGTTTTCCACCCAGAGTAGTATTTTTGATGTACCACTGTTCTCTAGATATGAAAACTTGGAGTTGAACGCAGAATTAAATTAATAGAGCATTTATATTTCTTCCTGAATATTTATATTAATATACCCTTTATTCTTACAAACTGCTTTTTCCAGGTATTAATTTACTCACTGCACGGACAACTGCCAATCTTTGCTGTTATCGAAAATACAGACACAACAATGGCAGTAAGTCTCATCACTCGTAAAAATTTGTTTGTAATGAAATTTGATTCCTCGAAGGAAACCTAGAAGTAAATGTAAATGGGAAACCTAGAAGAAGAAGTATAAAGTGCAATGAAAATTGTTTTGTCCAAAGTTCTCACAGATTTGTGTAAAGAAAGGAAAAATTTTGGACTGTACTTTTAGTTGAAATGGTTGCAGAGATATTCGTCATATCCCATTAAAAGATTTTCAAGTGTTTAATTTTTTTGTTGGTTCAATTTATTTATTACATTTTCAGATGCTGATGTTTTTTTTTGGAGCCCAACTATTTTAAACATTTTCTTAAAAGAAATCCCCTCTTCTAAAGTTATGTTTAATGTCTACTAAACGTTTTTTAGTTTACCTTGAAATCAATTTTATTTTTTGTACATGTGACTTTTCTCGCCATTTCTACCCATTATTAAAGTTTCAACTCCTTGTTGAGTTTGGTTTTTCATCTTTCCAATACTCTTCTAGATCGGATCTTATTTTGGATCGGTAGTGTGTGGTGTTGATTTGACAAACGATGGGTAAGGTTTTTTGTTCCCCTTCTACCTTAAGGTCTTGATTCATCGCTCATTTGTTTGTGCTTCTTCACGATACGGTAACAGAAGTTGTGATCTAACTGTGTTTTTATTACTTTGCCGGGCTATAACTCCTTTTGCTATATTATAGTCCAATTTTTGAGAGTAAGTGTTCCTGATTTCAGAATTTCTGATTTGGTTGTTGGAGCCCCATTCTATTCAGCTGTCTCGGATGAAGGAAAGGTTTATGTCTATACCACCAGTTCTCAGGTAAATTTTGTAAACTGATTGCTTTTCAGACTCCTTCGTATGTTCATTTGACTTTAAACCGATAGATAATTGCTGACAAATTTAAAAAGTGCCCTTGCTTAGGATTTGTTTTATTTTTGATGATTAACAGAGCGGTGTAACTTTAAAAGGAAGTATGCTTGGAGATCGAACTCCTGGAGCGAAATTCGGCTCATCAATAGCCTCCGCAGGGGACCTGAATAATGACAAATATAATGGTGAGTTGCCTTAATAGCCATTTAGTCTTAAAATGAAGTTGTCAATAATAATTTCTTCTAATTTCTGCACTCCATTGAACACGAGCTTTCGTTTGTAAACTTGTGATAAAATTTTCTTTGTGATTATCTGCATTATGTGCAATTTCTTTTTATAACGTTTCATGTTTTCACTTTTCGTATTTGAATAATTGACAGATCTTGTTGTTGGTGCACCATATGGCGGTCCCGATGGAAAGGGAGCTATTTATATTTATCATGGATCAGCCAACGGTATTGGAAATGGCTATGAACCGGTTCAGGTAAAGCTCCCATATTTAAGTATCCATTCTTATCAGATGATCAAATAAGTATTAGGAACTGCTTGCTAATTCATTATTTTTATGATAATTTTATTTTCTATCTAACCAGCACTTATGCTGATTTAATCTGAAAATGAATTCCAGAATAAACATATTATTTTTTTTAGATTTTTTGTATGAATTTTTAGACAAACTTAGAAAATATATCAATCTGCTTCTTAGAAAATTTACGCATCGACTTTGGGTGGAATGCCAGCAACGTTTGGCTTTTCGGTTGCAGGAGGCATGGATGTAGATGTGAATGGTTTCCCAGGTAAGGTTCTGGTTTACACAGCCAGTTTGTAACCAAGGGTGACTTGGTAACTTGGTAACATGCTGGATTAATGTCAAGCCATTGGTTATGGTTCATCATAGTTTTTGCATTCGATTTCAAATTTAAGGATTGGTATTAAAAAGTGAATTCTCGGCAACTATACTGCATTAACTTTAATGATCAAATGGAAAGCCAGTGCAAGCCTTGTTCTCCATTGTGGTGTACCTTTTAGACCATTTTTCGTTAATTTTTTCAGTCCTGTAGGAGCTTCTCCCATCTCTGAACTGTCATTCAGGTCTTCGAATTGCCTAGATTATTTCTGCTTAGTGAATCAAAGTCAACCGTTAATGCCTTGACGTTACATTCCTGTTTTCCCTTGCTGTTTAAGCTATTAGGTAAAATTTATTCACAGACCTAGTAATTGGTAGCTTTGGAGCTGATAAAATCCACATATTTAAGTAAGTCATACATATTTTTCCTCCATTTTGAACATTCAATTAGCTTTTTGTGGAATATTTATACTGCATTTTCTGTAAAGCCTAATAGTCAAGTGTTATTGTCTTAAAATCTGGTTATTTGTTTCTAAGAGATGATAAAGCATTGGCTCGTCTCAAGTTTAACTTTTTCCAACCCAAGAAGGGAGGTAAATTTGACTTTAAAAGACTCTGTTCTCTGTAACCGTATGAACCTTTCTCATCCCTTTTACATCTCGAGAACACTGTACATGCAGTTTATCACTAACGAACCTTTAACTCAATTTAAAAAATTGCTTAGTTTCATTCTGTGGTGAAAATTTTTGGCAGTCGAGATGCTTTATGTGTTTCATTTTTGTAGGTCAAAGCCTGTTTTGAAAACAACTGCTACCCTAAAGACAGACAAAGCCAAGATATCTCTATCTAAAAATGCTACTTCTATATGTAAAACAGACGGAGCAATAAATTATCAGTGGTATGTTAGATTCAGATTAAACAGCTGTGCTAATTTTCAATCCTTTTTTTTTGTACTTGATGCAGATTTGCAAGATCCTTGCATTGAGAATATTTATGAATGATTGTGCTCTATCGAAAGGTTGATTGTTAATATGATCGGTATAAGATAAAGTTATTTTTAAGATTTTGAACACAGCTTCACTGCTGACAGTCACAAATAGTTGAGACAATTGCCATAGGTGTATATCTTGACCTACATTTATTTAAAGTTTTGTCCTTCATTTCAGCATCGAAATGACCTTCTGTATGACGGTTTCTGGAAAAGGGATTTCCGGTGCAATAGGTAATTGTGTATTGAAAGATTTTTAAACGCTAGAGCCAGCATAAAGACATCTAGACTTTGCTCTGACGCTGTTTATTGCCTGGTATTTCACTTGATTCTAGTAAACATAAGATACTGAACATTAGGTCTGTTACTAACATAGCATCTTTAAAAGGCTGGATTCACTTAACAGAAGACTCTGTCATCTAAACAATTTGCTACAACTTCTGAAATATCCTTTATCCCTCCATATAAAGTGCCATAGCTTCGCTTGTGTCTGTCACGGCATGAACATTTCCTAGCTTGATCCTAGTGAGGCTCTTATTTAAAGCATCTTTAAAGAAATGAGGCTTGGAGTTTCACTGAATTAGAAAATATGATGTTTGAAGTTAAAAAGCCATGTAGAAAGAACCATCTTTTGATTGAGAAATTTATGTTAAATCGTGATACAGTGCTTACCAATTTTTGTGTATGTGCGATAAGCTAAAAATAGGAATTAATTGTAAGTGCCACTTCAAGTTCAGCTGCCATTATATAAGTAATCTAAGTTCTTTCTTCATTTTCATCTTTCTTCAGACATGGATGTTAAGTTTGAGTTCGACAAGGACCAGTTGGCAGGCAAGAGGGCAATTGTGGAAGTTAGTGGTACAAAACAAGCGAGCAAGCAGTTGGTCATTACTTACAATGCAAACGTAGAAAAATGCACCAAAGAGAAGGTCTTTATTCAGGTAAGTTAATGAAAGTTACCATGTTTCTGAAGTGCACATATGTTGTTTATTATGGTTACCAGTCTTTGAAGACGTCGCTCCAGAATGCGCTTTTTGTTTGGTGGTATTCGGTTATCTTTTTTATAAGAGGTTGCTTATCGTCCCTGAGCTGCAAAAACATTTCCATTTGTGTTTGTGCTTGTTACTGTGTCAAGAAGTAATCATCTGTGCATTTCATTTTGCAGACAAACGCCAACAACATTCTCAGGCCAATCGTTTTTGCTGCTTCGTATGGGTACAAAGAGCCAAGTGGAGGTTGCGGGGCGTCACCTTGCCCTATTGCTGATTTGTATGAGACAAGAGCGTTGACTACGCAGGTGCGATTCAGCATGGCCAGTTATGTTTGACTAAATGTGATATGAATGCCAGTTTTTTCAAATAGAATTTGATCTAGCTATATATTGATATAGAAAGTGCTGTCTCCATAGATAGATCATTTTACCAATGCAACTAATATGGATATTCCAATTAAAACAGCTCTTTCTCTCTCTTTTAGGTTACGTATGTAAAAGATTGCGGAAGTGACGATATTTGCAACACAGACTTGGCTGTAACTTGTCAACCCAAATTTTCTGGGTAAGATCTAGTTAAATTCTTTTCCCTCTCAAATTGAAACAGACTTTGTAAGTCACAGTCTTATTAAGAAACATTTAGCCAAGACAATGAAATGCGATCTAGCTTGATGACGCACCCAGAGAATTTAACATATTGATGTACGCTATCTGGTGGCGTCAAATCCAAATAAATTACATCTTCGTAACGAGAAAGTTTTGACTCGAATAAAAGTCAACATCAGCTAGATAAGGCTAGCAAGCATATCTATAGGGTTTAGAGATTTCTCATAGATTTAATATCTTATAGATTTTTGTTGGACACAAAAAATTTGCAGGCAAATTTCTTGGTTGATATCGAATCGATATAAATGACTTTTTTGGGAAATTTTCTCTTTAGTGGTCAAACAAGTTTGGTTTTTGGACTTGAGAAAAGCTTCAGTCTTCAAATTGATGCAACAAATAAAGGAGAAAACGCCTTTTTAGCAAAGATGAAAGTTGATTTTCCTGACGATTTGACGGCAGTCGGTGTCGAATTTATCAACGTATGCATTTTGTTATATTCTTTGTATTGCACCTATCTTAGTTAATTTGACTTATCAAGTTTAGCTGCTTCAAAGAAGTTAAACAAAACATTGCTTTTGGATATTTGGTATGACTCCTAAGATATTGAATTCGTACATGCATATTGGTTTTCGGTGCCTAATTAGAATATGAGATTCCTTTTTGGAAGTTTTCACCTCTTGTGACTTGGTATTATTTTCAGGAAGTAAACACATTTAAAACTCAACGAGCTGTTGGAAAATTCTGTACTATAAACTGATGTTCACGTATACATATCGAAATAGTTGCTTTCGACTGCAGAACGTTTCTTTTTCCGAGTTGTTTGTTGCAGCTGGAGTTTCAAATGTTTGTACAACAGGCCATTAGCTATACATTGTCCCATTCTGTTTATTATTACCCACATTTTGTAGAGATAATACCTACCACCACCTGCTGTTGCATATCCTCCCACTAATTGGACACCGGGGGTTTGGACAAGTTTTCGAGCCAAAGATTTGCAGCCAGCTAAAATCCACCTATAACTTTAACCTATTGTTGAGAAACACAACACTTTCATTCGATATAAAATATTAGTTATATACGATATAAAAGTTCCCTGAATATTGCGAGGTGATAGGTTTAGTTCATAATTTTGTGGTCTTAAGGAAGTAATCAATGCTTGCAGCCAATTTTTTCATTTTAGGAACAAAATCCTCTGTGGGAGCGCCTGCCAACGAAAAATGGTAAAAGTAGCATTGATTTCAATCTTGACAGCCCTTTTGAGAAAAACAGAAAGGTGAGAAATTGAAATTGGCAGGGTTTATATTGGCAGGGTACAAGTCCCTTTAGTACAAAAGTGTTTGTAAAACAAGCAAGACTTAGCAGGATGTAGGGATTAGAAATGTAAAATTCTATCATAGCTTTATTTTGTATGAAACAAACGGACAATAGCTGTAGCATCTGCACCAGAAAAGAGCCACGCTTCGAATAAAGTTGTCAATATTTGAATTCTGCTCTGTCAAGTCTTTCTTAGCATTAATTCTTTATTCTGTACCTTGGCTTTGCGACTTTGTATTTTGCAGATTTATTTCAACTCCATTTACATCATTGTCATTTTTTTATTCCCAGCTTGAAATTGTGATAAAATTCACCATAGCAAAAGAAAGGCCGAGCGGAAAGACTTTAGAATTCAAAATTGAAGCGAGCAGGTATCTTAAATTAGTGTCTTACCTTTGGAGACGTTTTTCTCCTAATAAGATATATCTTGTTACGTTTGTATATTTTTTTTTGAATTCAAAAGATGCGCAATAGTAGGCTGTGAAAGGCAGTAATGTTTTAATCAACCAGAAGAGAAGGACTAAAAAAGTGACACGTCTATTTGACGTTATTATGATGGGTCGCTAGCTTATTTTTCATTCAGCTCTTCCAGAGCCCTTATATATCTATTCCTTGATTTTTTTTTAAAAATTATATCTTAAGTGACTTAATTCTTTTTATTCAGATTGATTTGATTAATTTCTGTCTCTTGAAGGTTTGTGTTAATCTGTGTTAAAAGGAGGGTGCAAATTTTTGCTGAATAATTTCAATTTATTTTTTTTAGTGTAAGCAATGAGTTGACTCCAAACGATAACATCGCCATAGTGAAAGTTGAAACTGGCTTGTTAGCTGATATCACGATTTCCGGGTTGGTATATCCTCTACTCATAATTCTGTATTGCATGTTAACCCCGATATTTTGAAATTTTCTTGCCTATCGCGTTTGCGTTTTAAAATTAGAGACGCTGACAGAAAAAGGGAAAGTTTGCACTTCATCTACTCCACTGGCGCTTTGACTACGCGAGGGGTGAGCGTTCGCTGATTGGTCAATGTAGAAAACCAATCAAATGGCCCATTATTTTCTCGCGTCATTTTCGATTCGGGCTTAAATATTTTTCTGCGCACCTTCCGCAACCATCCTCTTGCAACTTTTGTTAAAAGTGGCGGACATAAAGTGTTTTGGTAAAATACTTCTTTAATGCAACATAAAGTACTATTGTGCGTCTTTATAAAGCCAAACCCTGACCCTATAGTTAGATAAAGATTTTGCTTTGTTTCTACAGATCTGCTAGTCCTGAGAATTTTTTCTATGATAAAGAGGCAATTGCTGCAACGTCTGATTTGAAGAATGAAACACAAGTCGGTCCTGTAGTGGAATACACTTTCTTTGTAAGTGTTGTAGCCTTTTGTTCATTGTAAACATTTATTTCTTTTTCAAGATGTGAGCTATTCGAAAAATTGTCCTTGTTTTTAGAAATATATCACATAAAAACATTTGATAAGTCATGAAGAAACCTGAAAAGTTTGAAGTTTCCTTGTGAGATTCCCTAGATCCTATACAATAGGTCATGACACGTAGGGGAGTCCATTGACACCTTACAACAGATACCTCACGTTCTTACAAATACTGTTATTTTCTTTCGATTTCTTTAATTGTTGATAAATAAGAATGATACCTTATTCAGCTTTGAAGAAGCTTATCGTTTTGTCGAAACATTATTTTCAAACAACGCCAATTTCACAAGACAAGCTAGAATCTTGGTAATAAATTGCTTAAACTTTGTAATGCGAAATTAGACGAAATTATTATAAAAGTGTATTTTTGTCATACGCACTGGGAACCTACCACCACCCTTTCCCCACCCGAGATAGTCACAGAATAAGAAAGATCCTCGAAGTTCCAAAACTCCCGTTATAAAATTAATTTTGTGGGGAGGGGGCGGAGTTGCCCTGCATTTTGCCAGAATTCTGGCTCCAATAGCTTAGTCTTATAATGACAAAGAGAAAAAGGAACTTTTAACGATCAACTAGATCTCATCCTTAATCAAAATCTGCATGAAATAAAATGAAATATCACCTAGTAGAGCGATGAATTGATAAAGCATTTCTTTATGAATGTAATTGTAAACCTCAAATGAATCAGGGGTCTCTTTACGTACAGAGGTCAAAGAATTTATAGATCAACCCTATGAAACAAAGTCATATCCAACATTTGATTTTTATTATCATCTTTGTATGTCTGTATCATATACCCTTTTTTACCCTCGGTGATAACCCATTTGTAAGTGAAAAGGTTATTGTTTTTGTATGTTTCTAGCAGGAGAAAAATATTGATTATTATTGCCAGTATAGGGGTATGCTAGTCGTTGTGTTATTTACAATAAAGATTTTTAAAATTATTGCAGGTCCAGAACC